CTCAGTAGAGTGCTGTGTCTTCACAGCTCACAGCAACCTCCAGCTCTTGGGCTTAGGTGATTCTTTTGTCTCAGACTTCTGAGTAGCTGGGACTACAGGTGCCTGCCACAGTGCCCAGCTATTGTTGTTGTTGTTGTTGTTGCAGTTTGGCCGGGGCCAGGTTTGAACCTGCCTCCCTCGGTGTATGGGGCTGGCGCCCTACTCACTGAGCCACAGGCTAAATAATGTATGGCAGAACTATTATTCTAGGACCTGGTCCTCCCCCAGATTCTTATCATAGGAAACTATTTCCCCATCCTCCTGGAAACTAGAGATGAACTTAGAAAAACAATCAGCTTTTACCCCAATCCTCAACAGAGAAAGTCACAGACCAATTGTCAGGGCAACAAGTTCTCCTCAAATGTCCCTTGTCCCGCAAGACTTTAACTCCTCATTGGACAGGCCCTCACATAGTTCTTTACAGCCCCCCCATGCCTGTTCGCCTTGTGGACCTCCAGGTTGGATTCACCAATGCCAAATAAAACTGTGTCCTACAGAAAAACTTCCAATGCTGAAGAATTATCACTGGAAGTCACAAGTACTATCCCCTGTCACTTTAAACTCACCAGGATCCCTGAAGAATCCACTTCCTAGTAAATGTGTAACATTCTTCCCCGAATTTTTCCTTTTCTCTATAACTTTTCTCTGGATGCCTGGCTACTCTTGGACGTTTAAAGTTGGAATGACCCCTTTTTGAAGCCTCTAAAAATCTATGTCTACAAGGTACCTTCCAAGACTTTCTCCCTGAAGAAACCCAATTTTCTTCTTTTTTTCCTTCTGGCTACCCCTCCTGTCGATTCTGGCCTTTTCTCCCCTACCCATCCACCTCGATTGATGATAAAGTCACTAATTATAATCCTTCTCATTGTCAGTTACAGATCAGCAATTCTTTGCCTCATCTCTTGATTTATTGAGCAGTCACTGGAAACTGCTCATATCCTTGCCTTACTGAATACCATCCAGCTCAGGCTGAAAATCCAGAAGTATTCCTGTAAAGTTCACTCCCTTTCCCCCTCCCATTCCCTTTTTATATCCCTTGTCCTGCAAGACTTTAACTCCTCATTGAACAGGCCCTCACATAGTTCTTTACAACACCCCCATGCCTGTTCACCTTGTGGATCTCCAGGGTGGATTTGCCAATCCCAAATAAAACTGAGTCCACTCAGCCCCCTCCTCCTACAGGAAGCAGCCTGAGAGATGACATGCCTATCACCCGCCTCCTTATAATAGATTAGGAAGTCAAGAATGATAGTCAAGTTACCAAACCACCCAGGAGGGATCCCTTTCCTGGAAAGCATGTCCCTCCCAGGAAATAGTGAACACACCAATCCAGACCTCCCTAACCTTATCTCACCTACCTGCCCAGGTAAAGCTATGGACAGACCAATCCTGGCTGCCCTAACCCTTTAAATCCCTGTCCACCATAGCTCACCTGTAGATTTCTCCCTAGTCAGGAATCTCACCTCATCTACACACCAGGTGGAATAAAAGCCACTTTAATTGCACGAATTAGATCTCTGTCTTCCTTTTATTTTGTATCTTGGAATGATTTTATCCTTGGGTCCAGAACTTTTCACCTTCTAAGCCTATTTTCTTGACTGTCCTGATCATGAAAGGGTGCTGGATATTATCAAAAGCTTTTTCTGCATCAATTGAGAGAATCATGTGGTCTTTGTTTTTTATTTTATTTATGTGATGTATTATATTTATGGATTTACGTAAGTTGAACCAGCCTTGTAACCCTGGAATAAAACTGACTTGATCATAGTGTATAATTTTTTTGATGTGTTGTTGAATTCTGTTTGCTAGGATCTTATTGAATATTTTTGCATCAATATTAATGATACTGGTCTACAGTTTTCTTTTTATGTTGGGTCTTTTCCTGGTTTGGGGATCAGGGTGATATTTGCTTCATAGAATGTGTTGGAGAGTATTCCTTCTTTTTCTATGTTTTGGAAAAGGTTATGTAATATAGGTACTAGTTCCTTTTTGAAGGTTTGGTAGAATTCTGATGTGAAACCATCTGGTCCCAGACTTTTCTTTTTTGGGAGATTTTGTATTGTTGATGCTATGTCAGTGATTGATAAAGGTCTATTCAGTGTTTCTAATTCTATGTCTGACCTCAGCAAATTTAAAAGAATAGAAATTATTCCTTGTATCTTCTCAGATCATCACGGTATAAAAGTTGAACTAAATAGGGACAGGAATCTTCATACTCAGACAAAGACATGGAAACTAACCTTATGGTGACTGATAGCTGGGTTAAAGATGAGATTAAGAAGGAAATCACCAAATTTTTGGAACAAAATGATACTGAAGACACAAATTATCAAAACCTATAGGATACTGCCAAGGCAGTCTTTAGAGGGAGATTCATAGCATTGGAACCTTCCTTAAAACAGAAAGAAGCTCAGTGCCTGTAGTTCAAGTGGCTAAGACGCCAGCCACATACAACCAAGATGGTGGGTTTGAATCCAGCCTGGGCCCGGCAAACAATAGTGACAGCTGCAACGAAAAAATAGCCGGGTGTTGTGGCGGGCGCCTGTGGTCCCAGCTACTTGGGAGGCTGAGGCAGGAGACTTGCTTGAGCCCAGGAGTTGGAGGTTGCTGTGAGCTGAGATGCCATGGCACTCTACCCAGGGGGACAGCTTGAGGCTCCTGTCTCAAAAAAAAAAAAGAAAGAAAGAAAACAGAAAGAGAAGAAGTTAAAAACTTAATGATGTTAATGGGACATCTCAAGCAACTAGAAAAGGAAAAACATTTCAACCAAAAACCCAGCAGAATAAAGGAAATAACCAATATTAGGGCAGAATCAAATGAAATTGAAAACAAAAGAATCATTCAGAAGATCAACAAAACAAAAAGTTGGTTTTTTTAAAAGATCAATAAAATTGACAAACCTTTGGCTAATGTAACCAGAAACAGAAAAGTTAAAATTCTAATATCATCAATCAGAAATGATAAAGGAGAAATAACAACAGACACCTCAGAAATCCAAAAAAAACCTCAGTGATTACTACAAAAAACTCTATTCTCAGAAATATGAAAATCTGGTGGAAATGGACCAATACCTCCTATACCTGGAACCATGCCACCTTCCTAGACTCAGCCAGAAAGAATTAGAAATGCTATTTGCATTATTCTTAATGAAATAGGCCTCTTTAGAGAATGGCAAAGACAGGGAACAGCTGACAGCAGCCTTAGACTCAGATCCTTTTTTGGTAGGAAAATTGGGTGGCAGAAGCTCTAAGGTTTGTTTTTCTGTTGGTTTTGAGACAGGGTCTTGCTCTGTTGCCCAGGCTAGAATGCATTGGCCCCATCATAACTTGTTTGCAACCTTAAAACTCCCAATCCTCCTGCCTCCGCTTTCCAGGTAGCTAGGACTACAGGCATGCATCACCTTGCTTGGCAAATTTTTCTGTTTTTCAGTAGAGACAGGGTCTTGTTCTTGGACAGGCTGGTCTCAAACTCCTGACCTCAAGTGATCCTCCTGCCTGAGTCTCCCAAAGTGCTGGAATTGTAAGTGTGAGCCACCATGCCAGGCCTCTAAGGTCTTTCTACCTGTCAACTGACCAAAAGAAAACTAGATATAATTTGCATACAAAAATGAGACTCAGTTCGGCACCCATAGTCCAGTGGTTAGGGCAATGTCCACATACATTAAGGTTGGCGGGTTTGAACCTGCCCTGGGCCTGTTAAACAACAATGACAACTGCAACCAAAAAATAGCCAGGTGTTGTGGTGGGCACCTGTAGTCCCAGCTACTTGGGAGATTGAGGCAAGAGAATCACTTAAACCCAAGAGTTTGTGGTGTGAGCTGTGACACCATGGCACTCTTCTGAGGGCACATAGTGAGACTCTGTCTTAAAGAAAAATAATGAGATTGCATTAAGGTTGGGTAAGGCAAATACTTGCCTTTCATTTTCACTTTTATTTTGCTACCAAACTCTGACATTTCCATTGTTTGAGGTTTACTTCATTAAGTTGTACTTTGTATTCAGAAGTGGACTGGAGGCTTCAGTTTCTTGTTTTCTTCACCAGAGGCGATTAAATGAGGGGCTACCTAAAAGCACTGAACACCATATGCTAGAGTGTTTAAGGAGAGGCTAAGTGGATAAACTTAGCCACCCTCAAATCACAACTTGGTAAGAGCCAAAACAAAAATAAATAAATGTCACCCAATGGTTATAAGCACAGCCACCTGGGTTTAAGTCCTATCTCTGTGTCTTAGTTTCCTTACCTGCAAAGTAGCAGTGATAATGCCAGTCATAGGCATCATATGAGCATGGCACATGGCTTTTATTATGCATTTCACCTATATATTCCTTGAAGGTAACTTATTTAATTATTGGTGAATGAGTGAATAAATAAATGAATGAAATTATAAAAGTCCTTTACCTGAACTTGGAGAGATGAGTAATGAATGATCTGACCTTATTGAATATAGAAGTGATATTCTACATACTTTGACACTAAATTCAGTTCATTTAATCCTGCACCCTACTCTTCTCTCTCTGATCTGCACAATTTAAACATTTATATTCTCAGAAACATGATTCTTAAATTAGGATTAATTTTGTGGATACTTGTTTTAGAAAATGAGTAAATGAATGATTGTGACTAAGAATACTTGAATATGATAACTTGAATAATTTATGTGTTAGGCCTCCTAGAGTATAAAGTTTATGCCCAAAATATTTTTAGAAAGAGGAAGTTGGTTGAAACTGCTAGATTTTTAAAAAGGTACACAATATTTGATCCTTTTGTAGTTCATAAGTATGATGATTGGGTTTTCATGCACATGCGTGAGATGTGCCTCCCACAAATCTTGTTATGATGTCTTCACATTACCTGACATTACCTTGTTGCAATGTATGATATTTAAAAAAAATGTAAAAAGATACACAGTATTTAATTCTTTTATCTCAGATATTTAATTCTTTCTTTCTATGGTTTTCTAGAGAATGAAGGTACAGAAAATACTAAGGGTGCCTCTCTGTTGACTTCTGGCTCTGATTCAGAACCCTGTTCCTCACCTCACAGGTAGGGACAAGCAACTACTTTGGATAAAATGCTTCCAGAAGTTTTGTCTTATGAGATAAGGAATTGGTTAAAGAAGTAGGCAGTCACTTTAATGGAAAAGACAGATTGAAGGGTATATAGTTTTATCATTAGTCAACCTTCAAGTGGTTTAGGAGCAGTGTCAGATTTATTTCAAGTTATAAATTTTTCTTACTTTCAGAGAATAAAACTATAACTAATAGTCAAGTATAGTGCCTTCATTTATCTTCTCCTGAATACCATATTCAAGTGTTCAGACATTTAAAGTAGGCGCAAGAGAATATATGTTTGGTTTTTACACATGAAATGTGCACAATCACACAATTGGAGGGTTTTTTTACTATGTAGTTTTTCAGATTAAACCATTATATGATGATCTTAAGGTTTTTATTTTTAATTTTCATCTCTGTCCATCTTATCCACCTATCATCATTGATAGCAGAGTGTAAAACAGAAAGGGAAGAGTTGTACTGAGCCTAGAATAAATGGAACCCATGAAACATTAGTGGAATAATTAATGAAAAGCTGTATTTTGGAGAACTCAGATAGTGTTATTATAGTGCAACTGATCAGTTTATGGTACAGTTTTGTCCAATAGAACTTAGAGTTTCCATGCTCCATACAAAATTGATGGCGAGGGGATGTCATGTTATTTAATGTGTTATTTCTTGAATTCTATTCAGAAGTTTTTTTCTCTTTTGTATATGAAATAATTCATATGATTAATACAATTAGGTTATAGTTAATAATGTAATAGCTATTCTTCATTGAATGTTTCTCTATAATAATAAAAATAAAGTATCTACTTTGGGGGGCTTTGTTTTGTTTTTGAGATGAGGTCTTGCTGTGTTGCCCAGGCTGGCCTTGAACTCCTAGGCACAAGTGATTGTCTGACCTCAGATTCCCAAGTAGCTAAGACTACAGGCATGTGTATTTTTTTCTCTTCTCTTTTTTGAAATAATTACTTTTATCAAGATATTTCTGTTTGCTAAATATTGTACTAGATGTTAAAATGCATTATCTCATTTAATCCTCATAACAACTCTAATAAGTATACGTACTCTTTTTTTTTAAGATAAGAAAAATGAAACAATGAATTCAATAATTTGCCCAAGTTCACATAACTTTAGGTTTACTCCACTCTAGCAATAGAAGGTATTGAGTTCTATGCTTAGAGCTGCTAAGTTATTACCTACTCAATCCTTTTAGAAGGCACAGGGTTTGATTATTTGAGCACTTCATATTCTTATCAAGTCCCTGAGGAGAACTCCTTTCCATTCTTCCTGCCACTATCTCTTTTCTGTATTTATTGTTTCAAAGGATCTTAGAGGGATAAGTTTTGGCACAGAATCATTTTATCCTTCTAAGTAAATTTTTTTTTT